TCAGCTTGTAAATTTTTCTCAAATTTTCAACAAGTGTTAAACCATCTTCCTTTCGATACGACCTCGGTTTAACTATAACTTGTAAATTTACATAGAATTTCAACAAGTGTTTAAACCAATCTTCTTTCGATACGACCTTGGTTTAACTTCAACTTGTAAATTCACACGGAATTTCAACAAGTGTTAAATATCACATCGGTTTAACTTCAACTTGTAAATTCACACAAAATTTCAACAAGTGTTAAATATCACATCGGTTTTAACTTAACTTGTAAATTGTCCACAAATTTCAACAAGTGTTAAACAATGATTTCGGTTTAACTTAACTTGTAAATTGTCCACAAATTTCAACAAGTGTTAAACAATGATTTCGGTTTAACTTAACTTGTAAATTGTCCACACAATAAACATTTGAAAGTCTTCTCCACAGAATTTCAACAAGTGTTAAATATGACCTCGGTTTAACTTCAACTTGTAAATTCACACAGAATTTCAACAAGTGTTAAACACCATCTCGGTTTAATTTCAACTTATAAATTCACACAGAATTTCAACAAGTGTTAAATATCACATCGATTTAACTTCAACTTGTAAATTCACACAGAATTTCAACAAGTGCTAAATATGATCTCGGTTTAACTTCAACTTGTAAATTCACACAGAATTTCAACAAGTGTTAAATATCATCTCGGTTTAACCAACTTGTACATTGCTACAAATTTCAACAAGTGGTAAACATCATATCGGTTTAATCAACTTGTAAATTCATACAGAATTTCAACAAGTGTTAAACACCATCTCGGTTTAACTTCAACTTGTAAATTCACACAAAATTTCAACAAGTGTTAAATATCACATTGGTTTAACTTCAACTTGTAAATTCACACAGAATTTCAACAAGTGTTAAATATGACCTCTGTTTAACTTTAACTTGTAAATTCACATAGAATTTCAACAAGTGTTAAACACCATCTCGGTTTAACTTCAACTTGTAAATTCACACAGAATTTCAACAAGTGTTAAACAATGATTTCATTTTAACTTCAACTTGTAAATTGTCCACAAATTTCAACAAGTGTTAAACAGTGATTTCGGTTTAACTTCAACTTGTAAATTGTCCACAAATTTCAACAAGTGTTAAACAATAATCTCTCTTCTCTTTGCCCTCTACATGGCTTTCACATGCTCTTTTGTGGACCTTATAAAAGGTCTTCAACCTGGCTAACTGCAGTCTGACCTTGTATGTTTTCTTTTTGTTTTCTAGGATCTGAGATCTGCTCACTGAGTTATTCTCTTCTCGGGCTTAAGTGTCGAGGTCTTGTCTATTGGAATCTTGGATCTGCTCTCTCAGGTTGAGCTCTTCTCTTCTCAGACCTACTCATCTAGGCCGAGATCATGCCTTCTGGGATCTGCGACGACACATTCTCCATTTTTGCTAAACTCGACGTTTTCGATACATTGATCTTGTACAGTGATGGCCATCTATTCTCCTTTCTTTCCCATAGACGGCGCCAAATTGTGTGAGTGATTTTCTGACCACACTGCTCGCTTAGTAATCAGCTGGAGAGCACCGGCAGAATAGATGGCACTTGGCTGACTTGGCTGACCTGCAATAGAAAGAGAAGATTCCGGCGGTGGTTCGTCCACCCGGGGGCACTCCGACGATCAAGTCAGTATATCTCTCAAAGATAAATCAAGTGCTAAACTCACAAGCTTGAGTATCAAAAGCATACCTTAGACCCATGGGGGTGCCTCTCTTTAATAGCCAACATAAACCTAGTCCTAATAGAAGCCTAACTTCTATGGACTCAGGATTACTGCTAATCTTAGACTCCCAGTAAGATTAGGATAAACTCTCTAAGAATCTTATCTTAATACAAATTGAAGTCTTCTCTCATTCTAGGATTCTTGCCCCTCATCCGCTTATCTCAGATTTCGATATCTTCGGAGGTAACCTCGGCCTATCCGAGATGACCTCGGCATAACAATCAGGACATATGGCACCTCGGCTGACACGTCGGCGTCACCTTGGCCACGTGTTGGTACTCAGAAAATATATCCCCACAATTTGCAATGTTGTTACTATCTTTGTTGTTTTATGGAAACGTTGGGAAAATTATGTGGATCTTCTATCCTTCATTTGATCATTGAATTTAAGTTAGACCGGCGGTTTGTACTTGAGTTGATGATGAATTTGATCGACAGTTGGAAAAACTTTGCGAGGGAAATCAAAAGAGTTATTTTTTAGGCGAACATGTTGAATTTTGGGAAGCAATTTTGCAGTGGAATTTGCAAGAGATTGCAATGGAATGAATGTGACATTGGAACTGTAGTTTCTAGTACAACTATATAGGCCCTATGACGCAGCGAAATGTTAAAATTGGATATGGTCAATATCAATATTCAAAATTTGGAATTTATCAGAAAAAATGGCAAAAATTATCACACAAGAGAGACTAAAATATTATTGTTATTATTATTATTATCCTAAAACTTATATCAAGAGAAGTCCCAACTAGTTAGGCTAATTTTTTTGGTAGTCATTAAAATAAATGAAATTTAAAAAGTAACAAAGTTGGCGAACATGAGTTATAGAAAGTTTAAGAAACATGTCAATGTCAACATAAATTTCAGAACATAAACCTTACACTTTGGATCATTTACCATGTGTATTATCAAGAAATCAAGATAAAATGACATACCTGAATCCATTGATGAACGGTTAAACGGAAGCGTGATTATCAATGAACTCTTTGTTATTGATTATGTTATTGCCTTCTAATCCTTTCCCCTTTGGTGCCTTATGTTCCTCCTTGAGAGGATTTAGAAAGAAAAATGGCAGTGTTCTTATTTTTTTCCACTTGGGAAGGAATAGGGACCATAACCTTTTAAAGGCATGCTCTGATACCAATTGTCAACATAAATTTCAGAACATAAACCTTACACTTTGGATCATTTACCATGTGTATTATCAAGAAATCAAGACAAAATGACATACCTGAATCCATTGATGAACGGTTAAACGGAAGCGTGATTATCAATAAACTCTTTGTTATTGATTATGTTATTGCCTTCTAGTCCTTTCCCCTTTGGTGCCTTATGTTTCTCCTTGAGAGGATTCAGAAAGAAAAATGGCAGTGTTCTTATTTTTTTCCACTTGGGAAGGAATAGGGACCATAACCTTTTAAAGGTTGTAATTGATTTTCAAAACTGAAAGGTTGTGGAAGTTCAAAAGGAATGAAAACCAACTTTAACTAATAGGTTTTAATTTATATTTCTGCCCCTCATAGAAATAGAAATTATACAACTAGTATCTACACATTAGGTCCATAACACATATACCCTTAAGCTTATTAACTAAATTGAATCACTTAAATTGCAGGCTTCTTATAAATGATAACACCACATTTAATTATGTGGTCTCATTGAGACATTATCTAACAGTCAAAACAAACGATACTAAAAGCAAATATTCCTAAATAAAATTATTACTAAAAGAAAAAATCCATAACCTGTAAAAACATTAATTCAGTGAGTTTTTCTTTCGACCATTACTAATCACATTGCTTAATTTAAAACAATTTTGAACTCATTTGTCAAAATCATTTTTTTACCCTTACGAAAAATAGAGTCACTGAACATTTAAAAAGAAACTAGTCGGAAAAAAAGAATTTACTCGAAAAAACAAAGAAATTATGTCCAACTGCAGCTCACACCAAAAAGGGACCAAGAGCACATGACTCAACCCCTTGGCGTGCCATTGAAAAAAAAAAGGAATCAAAGGACGAGTAGGCGAAAGAGTTCATCTTTGGACATCAATTCGGTCGTATACTTCATGATCTCAACTACCCATATGAAGGTGGGATTAGAATTCAAGTATTTTGTACAATTAAAGAGGAATTTTATCAATTAAGTATGTTGGTAGTAGTAGTTGTTACCATAAAATTGAAGCCATTTATTTGTTTACAAAAAAAAACGGAGTAGATTTGGAATTTAAGACAATAATTTGAATTTCAGTTGGATTGGATAGATGGTGGACCCAATTGTACAAGCTTTTCTTTTTCATAATGTTGAGTTATAATCTCAAACGATCTTCTGATTCAGAATTTAAAGTAGGGGTGAGCATGGTCCGGATTGGACCGGATTAGGGTAAAATCAGGACCAATCCGTTATTTACGGTTCTTGAAAAATTGGAACCAATCCAATCCGTTTAAATCCTGGAACCAATCCGAACCAATCCATTTATTTAAAGTGAATCAAAGAATTCTCAGTTACAGCACATGCCATGCTAGAGCTTCTTCTGCTCTGTTTGGTTGCCTTCAAAACTGTACCCACCACCCCCCACAATAACTACTAAACAACAACCAGCCCCCCACCAACCAACATGCCTCGCAATACAGGGGATTCGTGAAAAACAATCTACCAAACAAGTGCGCACATATGGAAGTGAAACAATAATTGCATACCCACAGAATTAACAAAACATATACAATATGCAAATCAAGTAACTTGAGCGAGCCATCCCTTTCTTGATGGTCCTACCATATGATATTTATGATCGCTGTTACTTCTCATAGTCCATTTACCTTCCATAGAATTGTTGCAAGTGGAAAAATGAACCCATAGTCACATTCTATGATATACTAGTTATTGAATATAATTTACCCTGTTCACATGAATAAACCCTTGTGTGAATTGAAGTGGGATCATACCATACAACTGATCACAACAGCCCACGCAATCGATCCTAACCTAATAATAGCTTTTTTCCTTTCGATACCTTACTTTAACAAATATCTTAATCCTGCTTGTCACATAGTTTCCTAAATATCTTAATCCAACTTGTCACATAGCTTCCTTCATTTCTCCAACGACAAAGTCACAAACCATTTGATTCTCCACTCCTATAGGCTGTGTTTGATTCCATACTCCATGTGGTGGCTAATTATAATACCAAATGGCATAAATCCCTTGAAAAGATCTCACCCTTAAAAACCAACTTATAAGAGAGCGGTGGCTAAGAAACTTACATTCACACGGTCAAACCTTTGTTAACCAATATTGGATGGCAACATTCTACATCAAAGATTGAGAGCTAAAATGACAGTCGAAGATTCGCATAGTCAGTCAAGTTTGACAACTTGCACAGATCAAGATAAACAAACCAACAGAATTTAAAGAAATTGACAAATTCAAACTCCAAAACTAAATTGTTCTAATGTTTGTCAGCCACATAAAAACTCAAGCTTTTATCATCATCCAATGTCATCTTCTTTGGAGGTCAAATGTGTACGAGGCCTCCAAGGTTCTCTGCTCTTGGACTGCTCCCTGCACTGCTATTGGAAAGTGACCCAAATGTCATCTTCTGCAGGACCCCAGTTGGCGATGACGCTAGTCGGGGACTTTTGTCCCAGCCCTTTGTCATGAGGTTGAGCGCAGATGATCTATTGCAGTCCCCAATGCTGCCACTAGTGCTATGCAATACCTCCCCGAGAGGTCCACCCATCGAAGTTTCCCAGGATATTGGAATCCAGTTGGCCTGCCGTTGGTTTGGTTCATTTGTAACATTTCCCAATCCCAAACCCATTTGAGTCGAGTCAAGCTCTCGTGACAGTCTCAGTGGCGAGAGTGCAAGTTTTTCATTAGCGGGCGATGAAGTGGATGACATGAAGTCTGAGGCATCCACGGGGATTGAAATTGAGAGCTGGGTTTTATGCCAGTCATCCATGAATTGATGGACTGAGTGTTGTGACTCACTTTCTCCATCATTGAGGTTGCGGGGTGAGCTATAGTTTCTGCAGTTATTGAGGGTGGAGCTTTTATGCAAAGGGTTGAGCAAAGAGTCTGAGCAGACGCTTCCAAATTCAGAGCGAGAGGATTGTTCATAAGGGTTCTGCTGTTTTGGAACAGAAAATTGGTTTGGTGTTAGGCTGATAGTAGGCGATAACATGGAGAGGTCTGTTGCACCTTGAATCGTCTCCCCCACATTTTCATTGTTCAGAAAAAACCTACTATGAGAATTCAAATCATGAAAAGAAACAACCAATCAGACAAAAGTTTACAGACTGAGCTTACAAAAAAATAAAAATATCCATACTTCGAAAATTGTAAGCCAGGTTCACTAATTCCAATATATAGATATATGGGGCTGCAAAACAAACCAAGCTATTTGAGCTCACTTTTGTACGTCTTGTTAAAAGTTCATTCGAGTTCTGTTTGTTATGTAAGGAAACTATGTTTGAACAAATTTTAAAACTCATTAAGTCTTCAAATCAAGATTAAACAACGTACTACTTAGCTCAACAAGCACATATGTATTACAAAAAACCAAGCTACTCAAGCTTGGTTTGTGTTCGTCTTGTCCGAGATTAGCTCATTATGTCAATCTACCTGAATACATTTTGAAACTTGTTAAGTTTTCAAACTAAGCATAAGCAATCGACCTTGTTCGACTGGGCTCGTTTGCAGCACTACAGATATCATCATGTATGTACATGTTCTCCATATTGAAGTTTCAATCGAACACACAAGTAGATGTATACTATTCTAAGTTTCTAACTTGGAAATTTAATCAACATTCACTAACAGTTCTTGAGAAGGAATTAAAGCTCTGCCAAGACCATTTTCTATTACATGTTATTCTGAAACTAGATGGAGAGTTAGCATTGCAACAAAAATAAAGCCATAAAATTTTATATGCACAAATTAAAAACAATGAATCAAAATAACAATCAAAGCTAAACCAAAGGAAATTTGCTATAATTTACTCTTGTTGTATTCACCTGTTGATATGGGGGGTAGATGCACAAGAATTAGGTGCACCTGGTTGCAAGTTCTTAAGTTGGGGGTGGTGTGAGAGGCCGAGGCTGTTGGTTGTGCCGTCCCCAGGCACCACCAATGCCGCCGATGTGGAGGAAGCAAGCTTCACGGTGGTGGTGGTTGTTGGTCCGGAGACGGAATGGCCACTTTGGCCTTCCACAGGCTTTCTTGAACGATGGCGGCCTCTATTCATGTGCCGCTCACAATACTTTTGGTCGGCAACAGCATCTCTTGAGCACCGCCATTTCTTCCCATCTGTCCGACGACACCGCCCTGGCTCGGGATCGGTGTTGTTGGAGAATCCTAGATGGAAAGCACCCCATCCCACTAAAAATCATGCAACAAAATAAATTAAACAAGGAAAAAAACAGAAGAGCAACTAACCTATTTGAACCAACAAAAAAAATGGATAACCAAATTAACAAACACAGTAAACAGTGAAACATGCATTAACCTAAAAAATGGAAATACCAAATCAAGTCCAGGGTATGTGAGATGAGGCGAGTACTAACTCAATAAGCCGTCACTTAAGCATAAGGAAACATATAGGGGGGTTGTGAAGTGGGGTGTAACAGCTAAAAAAATCATATAGTTAACGGCATTAGTGGGAACTTGAACTATTACAAGATTGGTCCCTTAAACCCTCACATACACAGTTAAACAGCATACTATTATCACTGTAATTCTTCACCTATTTCAATGGATTTTCATGAGAAATAATGGGTCTCATTAATTTTTTAATTATAATGAGTCCAACATAATAGATCCAGGGGACGAATATACATTGATATTCAATTAGGGATAGCTACTAATTGTGCTTGCCAAATAATAATAATAATAATAATAATAATAATAAATAGGTAAGATTTGGATTGTAAGGAAAATAAACAAACTTACAAGTACTAGGTCTTGTAAAGCTAGAGAACCCAGCAGAATCAAGGGCTTTTCTGATTGGGATGAGCAGATTATGAGGAATAGGCATATTTGCAGTGATGTACTTGTAGATCAAGGCCTGGTGTTCTAACTCCATCCACTGTGATGGAGTGAATGGGCCTCTCACCCCCATTAATACCCCATGCATGCTTGCAAGATTCAAGCAGCCTCCTCCTCCAGAGCCATAGCCTGAAACAGAAAATATGAGAAGTTTCAGCTAAAAATGTGATGGAAACGAAAGACCAAAAAAAAAAAAGAAGCCAAATACCAAAACCATTTCACTGATAAATTCTCATTCCGACTATTTTCAAGTGTGAAAAGAAAAACCAGAGTACAGAAAAGGGGGTATGGCAAGAAACCCCAAGTTTTTTGAACTTGTCTGCAATATTTAAGGAGGCCACATCAGTAACAGAAAGAATTTCTTGCCTTTGATATTACAAGAAAACAAAGCAAAACTACGAGAAAGAGAAATAGAAAGAAAAAGAAAACAGGAAGGATGGGTCTATTACTGCTCCTATTCCTGTTTTGTATTTTTTCCCCCCTTAACTTTTTTTTTTTTTTTTTTTTTAAAATTCTTACCAATACAAGACTTACATGAAAAGACCCCCCCCAGAATCAAACCCCAATGACCAATAAAAACCCATCTTTCCTCCAACATCACATCTCTCCATCTATCCATCTCTCCAACCCAAGAAGCAAAAATTCACAAAAAACCAAGACCCATCTCACAGATATCACTTTCAATCCCCACATAACAAAAACCCAAGATTTTTTTTTTGTACCTGTATTTCTACTATTACTTGATGATGATTGGTGATAGTGAGGCAATGTCACAGATTGTGAGTTGGGTGAAGAGAAGCTGAGCATATGCTGACCATCAGAGAGAAGACTAGAGCTATTAGCTCTCAATAGAGAACCTCTCTGCTGAGACAGTATTGCCTTGGAAGCAGAGAAGTCATCAGTCTTAGCCACTTTTAAGGTCCTCCACTCATCTTCAGAAGCTGGCGCAGATCTTTCTTGCCCAAGAAACCGGCCAGATCCGTACCACTTTTGCTTGGTCGAATCAGGATCTGAAGAAAGAGAAGAACCGAAACAACTGTCTGAACCCACCAAACCATCAAAACCCACCATGCCAAGATCCATTCAAGAACAGAGTCAGTGAGCTAGAAGATCATCAGAGAGAGAAAATGGAGAATTGGGTGATTAGTCATTGCAGGAAGGGAGTGAGAATAGAGGTGGAGGAGGAAGAGGGAGGACCATTTTAAAGGGTTCAGTTGGGTGAGTGTTTGTAGGTGGTATGTATGGTTAAGCAGAGCTGGGAGAGAAAACCAGACTGGTTTTTGTTTAGGAGTTTGATGATGTGTTTGTGAAAGTAAAATAATTGGAGAGAGCTAGATATGGTTGTGAGGAGGGAGGAAAAATAGTTACATATCTCAGACAAACTACCAAAACTATTATCTGAAATATTTTAGGAATAAAATTAGACATCGAAGAGTGTCCATGACGTTTATTTTTTTTATTATATTAAATTTAAGTTTTTTTTTTTTTTTTGATATTGTGTGTTTTAATGAAAAATTTTGGCCTTGTTTAATTTGTATTTGAGAAATATGTTTTGAGATAAAAAGGACGAAAATTTATTTGATTTAGTTTTTTTTCAAAAGATATTTTGAAAAATTATTTTGAGAGAGAGTTTTGAAAAAAGTGATTGATTTGATGTGTATGAGAGAGAGATTTGTTTGGAAAATTTGTAAACTAAACAAGTTTTGAAAAAAAAAATTGGAAAAATTTGTTTAGTTTGATTACTTTGGAAAACTTATTTTTAGAGAATTTTTCTTAAAATTGTTTGAGAAACACAAACCAAACAAGGCCTTTGATTTTTATCAGAGTATGGGTCGATTAGGAGGACCATCGAAGATGTTTGGCCGATCAACCGACTAATGTAAATTGTTTAAATTTTAAAATAAATTTTTTACAGTAAATTGCAAGAAGTAGATGTTCAACCGGTTGTCCGATGCTCTTGCATACTTGCAAAGTTAATGGCTATCTACTGTAATTTGATAAAATATTCTAAACATCCTTAATTTGATGAAAAATTTAAAATATCTTTAGATGGTGTTTGGCAAGTGGTTTTGGGGCTAAAATAGCCTCAAAAGACAAAATAGACTATTTTAGCCACAATAAATAAAACATCACATCCAACCTATAATCATTGCACTCTTCTCTCACAAAAAAAGTCAAAAAATCAAAAAGTTCTTTCCAAACTCAGTTTTTTAGCCCAGGCTAAAATAGTCAAAAAAAATTAAAAATTCAAAAAATCAACCCACTTCCCAAACTGAGGCTTAATTTGATATTGAATTTGATTTTAACATTAGAGTATCAAAATTAAATTTTTTTCATCAAATTTAAAAAAAGAGTAAGCACTGCAGGCACTCTAAGATCGATTTAAATGGTTATACTGTACAAAATTATTTTTTCAATTAATTTTTTTATCATATTATATTTAAATTTTGCATCACTATTATCCATGTATTGTATCATTTCTTTTTCACTGATCCAGATGAGTATCAAAAATTTTATATATTTATTTATTTGAAGATGGATAAGCATGTATTGTATCATTTCTTTTTCACTGATCTAGATGAGTATCAAAAATTTTATATATTTATTTATTTGAAGATGGATAAGTTGTTATTATTTGTGCAATTTAATTATAATTTGTAATCTTGTTGAATTTTTGTAATTTATAATAAAAATACATATCATACATACTTTTTAAACTTTCAAAGGCAAGTGACATATATATATATATATACATATATTTCTATGAAAAGGAAAGAGCTTTATGAAGCAACATTAGATTCAGATTTGGGAAGCGGGTTAATTTTTTAGGGTGTGTTTTCTTTAATTTTGGGAGATAAATTTTCAAAAAAAATCTTGGAGAAAGAGTTTAATTTTTTTTTGTTTGGTTGTATATTTTGAAAATAATTTTTGAGTATGAGAGTTTGGGATGATTTGATATTTTGCTGTAGTTGAGTAAATGTGTGTGAGATAAAAAATGATTGAGAATGGGAGAGGAGTGAGAAAAATTAATTGATTAATGTGTAGAAAATATAAAGTGATTTTGAAAATTTTTTCTCAAACTCACCAAACCAAATAAAAGTTTAAAAAAATTTCTCCAAAATTTGTTTCTCAAAAGCAAACCAAACAAGGCCAGTATTTTGACTTTTTGTCTATTTTTGTCGGAGCTAAAAAATCTCATTTAGATTAGATTTTTTGATTTTTTAAATTTTGTGAGAGAAAAAATAAAATAATTATAATTAAATGTAATATTTTATCTTATTAATTTTTAAATTTATTTTGTAAATAATTTAACCTTTTAAACCCTAAAATTGAATATTCTACTCAAACGAGCCCTACAAAATGAACAGTTCGAATCATCATCGAGCTCAAAATGGGCCCACAAAGCTCAAACGCTCTCTCAAGTTGGATAGCCAAATTGAGAGAATTCGAACCCCTATAATAAATCCTAATGATGTGTTTTGAATTATGGATTTGAATAGAAATTTGGAAAGAAAAATGAAAAAGGAAAAAGATGACAATGTGAATGAAATAAGAGCATCTAATTCTTTTTTCTCATCTTCCAACTTCGGCAAAACACAAAACTTGAGTTAAAAATTCAAAGGTTTGAGTTCTCTGTTGCTTGTGGTGTGAAGATATCGAAATCATGCATTACTTGGCTAAACCAAGTTTACCTTTTTGGAAACAAATATTTCAATTTCCCTTTTTCCCAAACTAATATATATATAATATACTTTATATATATATATATATATATAAAATATACTTTTTTATATACTTTTTTCATCTTTTTGTTTCAGTTCAGATCTACTCTCTCTCTTTCTCTTTTCTCACATCTCTCTCTCTTTTTCACATTGTCTCTGATCTCTCATTTCATATTTTTTGTTTCGTTTCGTTTGAAATCTACTCTCATAGAATCGGCGCCACCCACTGACGACGACGACGACAACGACGAGAAGTGCCATCGACGACAACAACGACGACGACAAGTAGAGAGCAAAGGGAGAGAGAGAGCACCGAACATCGTCGTTGAGCGCGACCACCACCTCCTCCGACGTCGGTTCCCTCCGCACGGCAGATTTGAGCAGATCTCTCTCTTGCTCTCTTTCTCTCTACTCAGATCTCTCCTTCTCTGATGTTGTTGATGTTGTTTGTGATGTTAATGATGTTGTTGTTGACCTCTCTTCCTCTTTGTTTGTTTGTTTGTTTTTTTTTTGTCCGAAAAATTTCGGGGTTGGGGAAACTCAATCCCCATTAGGGGACGGGGACGGGGACATTTTTACCATCGGGGATCGGGAACGAGGAGTGTGATCCCCGGCCCCGCCCCGCCCTGTTGCCATTCCTATAAACTATAATCAGATCTTTTGAGTTGTAACAAACATCTATTCTCTTTGCATGTTCCGCCCGTGCATCTCTCACTCTGCTCCGCACGAATTTTTTCTGCCTTGATGAACAAATGGGGCTAGAACAAATTTTGCTTCCCCAATCCCATTTTAACCTGCCCCGTCCGAATTATATTTATTAAATATATTTATATATAAATAATATATATATATATATATCATTTTATTTTTTAATATAATATAATTAAACCACTAAAATAATACACTTACCATTTATTTCCACTCATTTATTTTTCATCCTACATATTTTAATTTTCATTAATTATAAATTATTATATATAATATACTATATTATCTCTAATTATTATTACTAATTTTATTTTTTATATTATAAAATTAATCCACTGTTACCCACACCGACACCAAGATTTACTTAAACACTAATTACTTAAATTACTTTAAATTTCACGACTTCGTAGTTATTTTTCTACACTTTCACTTTTGTATTGACATAATTTATTTGGGTGGCGTTTGTTTGAAATGATTTAAGTATGGGATTGGGCTAATGGCCCATTGGTTGAGTTTGAAAATTTTTGCACCGGACTATGAATCCCAAATCTATGGGATAAATCCATCCCTGGGGGGACACAAACCGCACGATAACTCATCCTATGGGAGTAGGTAGTGAAATTATATTTTTGATCCTCTACTATTTAATATCTTTTTAAAAATAAATTTTTTTGTACTTAATTTATTTTATAAAAATATTTATACTATTATACTTAATAAATTTATTTATTAAATTATTTATTAGTAAAGTAAAATTAAATTTAAAAATCTCAACTATAAATTAAAATAAATTTATGTAATTTTTATTAATATTATATTTATTTTATTTTTTTAATTTTTTAAAAGATTTAGTAAAAAAATAAAATAAAATTTATAATTCATATTTAATATTAATAAATAATTCAAAAGGGCAAAATAATCTTTTGAGCATTTATCCATCTCCATAGTATCTCAAACAAACATAAAATTCAATAGAATAGTCTAATCTAGACATTTAATCCCATAACTAAACAAACATAGGATACAAATCTAGTCTAACCAAATAGTCCAGGGATAATGTATCTCAGGATTAACAATCTAGTAGATTACAATCTCCCCTTATCCAGTATGTCTAAACAAACACACCCTTGGAGAAACAAACTTGAATCCACATATTTTATGTTGATATGCTTCCATTCAAATTTCTCTGATTGGTATAGTCTGAAACATTCGGTAAAGGCAAATAGTTTTACTCACTTAAAAACAAAACAAAAAAAAGGTAAGGATCTATTTGGTTGATTTTCAAAAACTGTGTGCCTTTTTTTAAAAAAATTAAAATTAATTTGACACTATACGAGCATAAAATAATCTTCTCGTATAATTCTGTTGACTAAGTTTATACTCCTTTAAACGTCGTCACTTTATTACTTGAAACACACGTGAGTTAGCCGATAGGTGTGTGCTAGAAACCCCTCCGATGCCTAAGTCAGCAAGTAGACAATAGACAATAAGCTCTGTATATTTGCGAGTGAGAATTGCAATACCTGGAAAAGTGTTCTATTATCTGATTTTATAGATTCCACGCGGCACAATCCTAGTAAAATTATAACTCGCCTTAGTAGAATCCTTCTAGGAGTCACATTTCCAAAGAATAATACTTATTCCTGAGACACCATCCTCACTGCCAGCCAAGTGAGATGTTCAGAACCATGTTCGGCTGTTGATTACTCGACCAAGCTATCTATTTCTGCTTCCTCTCTATTTGGACTGTCCAAAGAACCGACTAATGAGTTGCTGAGCTAAACCTAACTCGGCCTTCCTTATCGAAGCCACTCTGGTCTGCTAAGGATCGTACCTCGGTAGCTAAGCTCATGTCCAAGCGACTCATTGCTAACCGACCTAGCGCCCAGGTGGCCTAAAGCGGGTTTATCTAAGCCCTT